CTCCGCCTGCTTATACCACTTAAACATAGAGTTAAGTGCCTCCGTCAATTCGGTGCTACTGCTCTTGTCAATGCAGCATGTGTCAACCCAGAAAAATTTGAGACCGTCCTTCGTAGCCTGTTCGGAGCAAAAGATGAGCTTGCTATATCCAGGAATACTTTTAGCCTGGGGATCTTGTAATTGCAAGAACGTGACTTCATCCTCGTTGGAACCCCAGGTATGCGAGAGGATGGCGTAAGGCGGGATATCCCCGCCGAACCGCTCAACCAGGTGGAATTGGTCGGACCCCGACGGGCGATGGAGTAGCCGCATAACGGTAGTATCTTGACAACATGCAAAACAGGTGATACTGCCAAAAGATTGGAAAGAAATGTCGTGGGAAAAGGAGCCGTAGAGCGCTTGCGGTGAAAAGGGTGCGACAGGTGAAATTCGAGTGCAAAGATGAGCGGCGGCCAGGGCTGATTAGACTCGCTTCGCTGCGGCGGGACAGCTTTTGAAGTCACGCCTGAAGGCGGCTTGGAGAATCGTTACTCATTGGTGCAGCTGTGGCCGTCTCAACATGGTAAGGCTTCGTGATGCAAGGCTGTGCAGCGACGATGGCTGGGTGGACGGACAGGAAGCCTAGCTACAGACTGCATCTTGACGTCGAAATTAAAGCGTTTCCATCTAAAGAATACAATGATGAACCTGACGAGTGAAGTGAAGATGAAGGCCAGGATTGTTGTGATGGCAGATGGTTCTGGGACGAGAAGATGGAGTGGTGACCTTGACGCGCACGAGGCGCTCCATCTAGCCCACGGACGCTAGCCCCACTTGGGCCCACTCGGGACGCACTTTCCGGTGACACCTGATTCCATCAAGCACTGCCACATCGTCTTTGCGTAAGAATGAGCGTAGGAGCGATCGTGCAGACTTTAAAAAAGATGCACCATCAAAACAATTACTGCAGGCAACATTCAAAGCTCCGCCAACGCGATGACTAGTGTAGATGGAGAGGTGAGGTGGGAGATACGTGAGGGTGGCAGCACTGTCACTGTTCATTCACTGTGGGTTGGCTCATACGTCCTTTACCACACACGAAAGTTGAGAGTTTTCAGAATAGTGTTCAACGTGAGGCTGACGACTGTTTGTTGAGGACCCTGGCGTAGGGCACACAACGAGGCGCACACAAAGTACATGCTGCATCAATCTGCACACGACAACGAGCTATTGGGATTGAAACATGCTTTTGCTGTGGTATCGAAATCATGTCCGTAATCTACCATAAGTGAGACGCCAAACTCCATGACTATGTCGGAAGATCGTTCAATGACTGTCGGGAAAAGTCCTTTCATATCGCGGAAGATACCATCTGTACCCGAACCGCAGTCCTACTCGTCGACATCCATAGCCTCAACACCGCCACCAACCTTCCTCTTCAGCATCTTCTTCGTCTTGGTCTTCTGCTTGGGCAGCTCCTCCTCAAGCTCACTGAGTTCGCTCTCCTCAGCCTCAAGCTCCTTCCTCCTAGCCGCGACCTTCTCCTTGACCTTCTGCACATCAACCTCCATCTCCTCCTGCTCAACCTCCTCCTTAGCGAACCTCTCGCTCGGCGGTAGCAAGTGCTGGTTCTCCTCGACCAGCTTCCTGTCCTCCTCACGCTGCCTCTGCTTGTTGCCACGCATGCGCGCCTTGTAGAAGGCGCGCTCTCTCCTCTGCCGGATCTCGGATACACGGCCCATGGCCTTGAGGGTGGTCTGGATGAGGTCGCGGTTGTATCGCACGGGCACGTTGCGGCGCTGGGCGAAGGTGAGGGTCGAGTCGACGGTCATTTCCTTGTTGTGCGCGCGGCGGAAAGATTTGGTCCAGGCCAGCTTGCGGGGGTTGCGCTTCATCTTGAAGTTCTTGTGGCATTTGCTCTTGCAGAAGCGGAAGGCCTTTGCATCGTTGCGCACTGATGAGTCAGCAAGGATTTCTTTGAGGTGTGATTGTTCATGCATACCAAAGGTTATACCCTTGGACGGGTATACCGGCGAAGAGCAGAAGTAGCAAGTCTCGATTCTCATCTTATCGTCGTGGCGCGAATGCGATCGCGCTCGTCTTTATCGTGGGTAGGTATGCGCTTTTCCGCGTCGCAGTAATCGTCAGCACAGGCTGATATCGAACAATATAAGGATTGACCACGCTTCACTTAGTTGGCGGTGGTGAGGCGGGTGTCGTGTGAAGGTGTGGAGGTTGAGGTTCGAGAAGTTCGCCGGCTCGAAATTTTGGGTGGCCCGTGCGTGCCAACCCACCTGCCATTCTGGCCCGCCAATTGCGATGCTTCTCGACCGAGGCACCTCCGCAAATTTCCTTCTGACCACCTCGCCGCCGCCATTCATCTAAGCATCGCCATCTGACGTATCCCTCCGCCTATCTCACATCGCGACTTCGACCTACCCGTATACCGGAACACCGACACCGCATAGTTGAGCCCAGATAGTGCGACGAGATGTCTGCCTGGGTTTGGATATTGGGCGCCGGTGCCACTGCTTTCTTCGTATGGCCTCCAATTTCCTTAGTCACCCTTCTATCATGACTGGATTGGGAACTGCGGGAATATGATAATACACGAGGAAGATGTACTGACAGATTTGAATAGGGTCGCGCAGCACTTGTGGCATTACGGAGATCAGGTGGTGGAGCCGGAGCGCTAGGACGTGGATACTACAAAGGCGGCTTCGAGCCCAAGATGACCCGGAGAGAGGCTGCCCTCATATTAGAGATGCCGTAGGCCCACCGCATATATCACCCTCTACGAAGAGCCTCATGAACTAACGAATCCCAGCGAACGCGGCATTACCAAAGAACTATTACGAAAGAAGCACCGATCGCTCATGCTTCTCAACCATCCCGATCGCGGCGGTAGCCCATACCTTGCGACCAAGGTCAACGAAGCGAAAGAACTACTCGAGAAGGAGGTCAAGGGATAATTTGATGGGCAAGAGGTGGATGATGTGTATACCAAGACTTTGTACTATATCACGGCATGATTCTCAGCATCAGCATGGCGTTGGACTGAATATGATTAGCGATTTACGATTCTCAATATGGTTCTATACTGTTCATGTTGTATGAACTCGATGAAATCCAAGCTTAGTGACCGTGACAGATAGATGCATATTCTGCGTAGAACACGAGGTGGACCATTTCGAATTTGTTTGAGCGGTAAAATACATTCGACGCTACGATGGAAAGATTACATCAAAGGTATTATGCGAGACACTCCTTGACCTCCGGCACATGCTTTGCCAGTTCCTCTACAATCTCATTCCACACCCTCAGCGCAAGCTTCTCATTTTTTTCCGCTACGATGTTCGGCTTATCGGTCTGAACCTTATCATTCGCCCAGAACTTTCCATGAAGCTCTTCGTTCTGTGACGCGCCAGTAATATATATGTTGGCTCCCTGATCCGCCGTTCTGAACGCCAAGGTATGCACGATCGCCCGTACGATCTTGACACCAGGAAACTTGATATCGCGGTCGATGTTCGTAATGACTGCCCCGGGACACGTTGCCGTAATGATGACTTCGCTGGACGGGATTTTCTTGGCGAGCTGTATGATGGCGTATCTCTGGAGAAGCTTCGAATAACCGTACTGCTTCTGGGCGCCGGCGAAGGTTTCTTCCCTGTTGAACTCGGACAGGATCGCGGGCTTGTTTCGAACGTCATCAGAGATGTTCATGACCGTGTGCATGCCCGAATTGACGAACTGCAGTACGGGTATCTTCCCCGTGTGCTTTTGCGACTCTTTCAACTTCGGCAAGAGGAGTATACCGAGCAAAATGCTGGAAAGTGTGTTGACTTGTAGGTCTTCCTCCCAGCCATGCTTCGACTGTTGGTAGGCGGTGTTGAAGATTCCAATGTTGAGTACAGCGACGTCCAAATGGTCGAGTTCGCTAACCGCTCGTTGCGCAAGTTTGACGACACTATCGTATGAAGTCATGTCCAGATCCCAGACTTCAAAGTGGACAGCTTCCCCGGTATCTGCTTCGAGCTGGCTCTTGGTCGCCGCACCTTTGGCCTCGTCTCGGGCTGTGATGATTATCTTTGATGCTCCCAGCTTCGCGAACTTGGCTGCTGCCGCATACCCTAGCCCAGAGGTGGCGCCGGTGACTAGGACATTTCGCCCTGCAAAGCACTCGGTGGACTCTTTGGGCAGAGCGCCCCATTTGTTCTTTACCATTCCAACGATCATCTCCATGATGTTGGATGTTTAGACAGGAATTGCTATCCTTGATTTGAAGGTAGATATTGTTGTAGTAATTTGTAACGACGCAAAGAACCACCGGCAAGGGGAATCAATGTACTTTGTACCTTAGTATGCACAGATGCCGATGAAGGGCCGAGCACGGCTTAATCTTCAAAGTTTAAAGCGCTCACGGATGGTCCGGAACCCAGCAGCCCCGTAGTCGATTGCGCGTGGATTCCCAGGTCGTATACAGCGTATAGCTTAATGACAACAGACATTGGTCCTCTTCGACTTCCCTGACAGCTTTTGTCCGCCGAGATGACATGTTCAAAAGGTCCTCAGATGGCATCTCGGAAGCTCGCTCCATCCGGAGCATGGGCTGAGAGGTCATGTTTGTTCAAGTATGTCCCAAATGTCGTAGAGAGACGTCTGCGGTACTTGAAGGGCGAGCTGTTGCGTTGTGTGATGCATGCAGTTCTTCTCACCAGTCTTGTACTATCACCACGTACCTCCGGAACGCTATCTTATTTGCGGAAGACGTGCCCGCGAAAATGAACTTACGTGATGGTCGGTATTGGAGTGTTCAACGCGTCAAGCCTTCAGTGTAGTCTTGAGACACGTGCTGACTTGGCGGCCCCCGCATGCATTCGGCTATCTCGCATGGCAGCGCCACCGACCTTAGAATGGCTGGTACCCCAGAATCGGGGCTGCCCCAGCCTCCCCATCTCCATCAACCCCCGACAATTACCTTGTGACCTGCAAGCCAGCATCAACGACTATGTGTCACGATGGAAGAGCGCGAATACCAGCTGCCCGCATGTCAGAAGTGCAAATTGCGCAAAGTCAAATGCGACAGACAAGCACCCAAATGCACAAACTGTAGGAAAGGGAATGCCGCCTGCATCATTGTTGATGCTATCACTGGCGAACAGTATGCACGTGACTACATCCGGCAGCTGGAAGAGAAGGAACTCAATTTGCAGCGTAGACTGGGCGATCGTGACGAAACGGGTGTTGCGACACCAGCCTCCACCGAAAGATCGGACGTCGCCAATCGGACACCGACAGGCCCTGAGACGGTAACCAGCTCAGATACCCAGAGCGGGTTTGTCGGCGACGGCAGCGGCCTGGGCTTCTTGCAGAACATCCTTTCTGATACCAAGTGGCAACACCATCGCGCACAAATACTCGAACAACTTGCGAAGCGCCCTCGTATTGCTAGGCATCGACCTGTCGCTCGAGCACTACCACCACTGGCGCAGGCACGACAATTATTTGACAACTATTTCACTCGGTTTCACGTCCACCATACTTTTCTCCTTCGTAGCGAGATGCTAGACGTCTTTAGCAGGGTTTACTCCCTCTCGCCAACACCAGAGAGACCCTTGGCCCAGGACTACTTTCGCCTCTTTATGGTATTCGCGATCAGCGATACGACCAGGCATCGCGAGTGTCTAGCTGATGGCCGAAGTGCCGAGCATCCGTACGGGTATTATCTTGCGGCTGAACATTATCTTGCGGGCATACCGTTGATCAAAGATGCGGAAGCTATCCAGAACTTATTACTGATAGCGAGGTTCGGCATGTACCATCACATTGGAGCATCGATATGGGAAATATCCCGCTTGTGTATGCGGCAGTGCATTGAATGGGGTCTTCATTCGAAGGCACAGGACGGCTTGAGCCTATTGAAAGAACAGCACCAGCGCAGGATATTCTGGGAGTGCTACGTCCACGACCGTTACAGCTCGGGCATATTAGGCCGTCCTTTCGCTCTTCTCGAGTCGGAGATAAGCATGCCACTACCGATTGATGCCGACGATGAGACAATCGTAATGTCTGGTGCTACTGTACTTGAAGATGTTCCTTCCGTCACGAACGTCAGCCCAAGCGAGCTGTCAGTCAACCTGTTTTGCATCAAGCTGCGACGGCTAAGCTCTCGGGTGCACACTGCCTTTTACACTGGTCGAAAGCCCGCCTCATACAATAGCGAAGACAGCACTCGGACCTCCAGGTTTCAATCGATAGGCCACATCTACTCATCATTCGTGCAATTCGACAAAGAGTCCCGTGCATTGCGGTCGTCAGTACCAGTCTTCGTAGACCCCAAATGTCTATACGAGCGGTCTGAATGGCATGACTTTATGTACGAGAAGGACCGTCTCCTACTTGCCCGTGGCGCCATGCACAACCTACCAGCACGGCAGTTCTCCGGAACGTCCATTGTGAGGGAGATACTGAAAGTGTGCTATCAATCAGCGATACATACAATACAACTCTATGCAGACCTTCGACGCAGGAACGCTATCACTTGGACACGCAGCTACTTTGAGATGATCTTCACCGCAGGTCTTACTGTCATCTATTGCATTATCTTGGGTGTTTTGAGCGATAATGACGAGCTCTCCGTCACCAACACTGAAACTCTGCCAACGCTCGACACTTGCAGCTCATTGTTAAACTACTTCAAAGACAAGATGCCCGACGCAGGTTCTTTCGCCACTGTCTTCAGCGTCATACTGAAAGAGTTCGTCAAAGATCGTTTTACATCAGCATTACAGGTGTCAGAAAATGTCCCCGCAAACCCAATTCAGCCAAGTTTTCAACAGCCTCCAACCCATGATGCGCAAATCTACCCCGATCACCACCTCAACGCGGACTCGCTGCACTCGAGCATGGACACCATCACTGCAGATCACTTACGATCGGATGGTCAGGAACAAGAACGTGTAAACCTGAATCACTTGATACTTGGGGACTTTCCTGACCTCTCAAATCACCAAGAATCGCAAGACTTCGGCATGGGTCTGACTAATGACCTTTTGAACCAACTTGAATATGGGCTGGGCGAGTACGCTTGGGGCTCTTTGAACACTAACGTAGATTATTGGAATTCTTTCTCCTACAACTAAAGAAAGGAAACGGCCAAGAAAAGGTCCGGTGACGCTTCAGTGAGCAGCACTCTAGCTAGATCGCTCGGACAGTCTGGATATAGTCATACAATCGATCCACTGCCGCCATCGCAGTCTCCATCTGCGTCTCGGCCGTTGCAGCACCTACGTGCGGAGTGCTCACGACCCGTCCCGTTTCCCACAAACTACCATAGATCTCTTTGGTCGGAGGCTCATGCTCATGGCAGTCCAGACCCGCTCCCCAAATCAGACCTTCTCTCAAAGCGCGTTCGAGATCGGCCTCATGCACAATTCCGCCTCTGGCTGCGTTGATCAAGATCGAAGTGGGCTTCATGATCTTGAATTGTTCATACGATATGAGACCCCTGGTTTGGGGTATCAGAGGAACGTGTAGTGTTACCACATCCGAGGCTTGAAGGACTTCTTCCAAGGTCGCTGCTCGGGTATGCGGAATATCTTCCCAAGCATCATTTGGCAGTAGTGGGTCGTATGCTACGATGCGACACCCTAATCCGCCTTGGAAGATTTGCGCGACCTTTCGGCCAATGTTCCCCATACCCACAATCCCGATTATCTTCTTGTTGATGATCAAACCCGAGCAGGTCTCTTTCGGCACGCTAAACCCGGCACTTTGCAGCGCTGTTATGCGACCAACCTCGCGAGCCACAGACATCGTGAGCGTAAGGACCGTCTCCGCGACAGCCTGCGCATTTACTCCGGGCGTGTTGAAGATCTTTATACCGCGCGCTCTGCAGGCCTCGCCATCAATCTTGTCGATTCCAACGCCCTGTTTGCCGATGGCTTTGAGGTTCTTGTATGCTTCGACGTCTTCTGCGGTAAGGTATGATCCGCGAATGACGAGGTATTCGGCCTTTTCTCTCCATTCCGAATGCTTGGGGTCTGAAGGTAGTATCGCATTGAACAGCGACTGGGCGCGTTTCGTAGCTTCGGGGTGTAATGTATCGAGCAGGTAAACAATAGCCTTGTCTAACCCGTTGGACGGTGACGAAGCGGGGAAGGTGTGCTCTGACTCGATGAGTGCAGGAGCCATGATGACAGCTATGACGTGAAACAATCGACTGTAATGGGTTTGTGGGAGGAGTATGGAGTCCAAAGTAACGTCGGACTGCGCGTCTTGATGGTATATGGCAGCCACACCCAAGGTGATGTGTACCTAGATGTATGTGGATAGCCGCATTACCCACACGCCGGGCGTTAGAACGAGACTCCCCATCTGCATCTGATGCAGAAGCCAATGCCGTGTCGGTATACGGCGAATTGGTCATGCGCGGATCAACAGAGCTCATCGGACGACCACCGAAGGGGCCGCAGCGCTAGCTTCGGGGGGTGTCCGACTGCCCGAGCGAAACGACCCCTCACCAATGTCTTTTCGGTGCCACCCTGCCTTGTCGGCTTGGAACACCGCGCACCATGATTTCAGCACATCGGAACTAGATCTAGCAGCGCAAACGACGTAAGCGGCAAGATTGTCTCAATAGGATTTGGGCGTTGGCCGGCTGTGGTTGGCTTTGCCCGCTCATACACTGCCGACGATGAGCCGCTGTACATGGCATGATATCGCGATCTCAGACGCGCTCACTAGGCTCTTGAGACTTTCTGTTGAGGTCGGTCGAGACTGCATTGCGACAAGTATGTTCCGAAAGCCCTGGAAGGCAGTGTAGTGCATCGAGAGTATAGTGAGACTGCCCAGGCATTGAAGCACGCATTTTTGTCGCTCCTGGGTAGGCGGCTGCGATGCGGTGAATACACCGATAAAGAATATCAGATATCCATCGAGAGCTCCTGGCGCTAGCTCCTGACTGGTGAGCTGATGTTCGATGGATGTCGCATACCCGACGAAGTGTTCCTCGATGCGGCCCAACATCATGTCTCGCCCTGGGTCCTGTGCGAAGCTCGGACACTTCAGCAGTTCTACGAGACCACGGGCATACAATTGGTCGTTCAGCAGACCACCTGCTGATAGTGCTCTCGGCAATGTCTCTCTCCAGTGGCATAGATTGACGAAATGGCAAAGCAGGTCTTCCTCGGTATGTTTTCGAATCGAGCGCAAGAGCTGCGCATGTTGGATCAAACATCGCAGGGCGATCACTTCCGCGTCTGTACCTGCAGGCTGTGGTGAAGCTGGTGGCGACATCATGATATTGCCATCGTTGAGACAAAATGGCCGGTCCATAGCCGTACTGAGGTGAGTGTCCAGGATGTACAACGTCCAGAACGCTCTTCCATTTTGCCTCTTACTCTCGCTATCCGAACTTACATCCGAGACGCGAGACGTGTGCATACCCGCAGAGATGCAGCGTGTCATAGCCAGTCCAAGTAGATGCCAGGACGATCCGCAATATGTTGTGTATAGTGAACATATGGCAAGGGCTGTGAGACACTGCACGACTGCCAAGTCGTTGGACTGACTGAGTATGCGTGGCATGAGTTGCGAGGCCGTTGTTATTAGCTCAGATATCAAGACTACCGCGAAGCTGTGATTTGGCGATAGCAGGAAGCCGAGTGCAATGCCTAGTCTGACAAGTAGGATCTTCTCTGGCGACTCGTTCGTCATTATGCCAATGTTTGTATCTCGCTCGGCCGTTACGACGATACTGTACAAGTCTTCGAGCTCGCTGCGCGTCATGGCGGGAAAGGTTGTGGGAGCTACTTTGACAAACCGTCTGAACGCTTCAGCCGCCTGAGCACCATCTAGTTTACTGCCCTGGGAGAAAAGCTCGTTACGAAATTCTGCCATAGGCCCAGAAAGTGATGTGTTGGTTCCGATCGGGCTGCTCGGGTTGGTGTTGCCTATAGTTGCCGCGGCAAGAAATAACGTCGAGAAAGAAAGTCCCTGGTTCGAAAATGGCTGTCGGTCTGTCGGCTCTGCCATTGCACTAAGACTCAAGTAATTGGCTTCGTGCATTGTATGGTGTAAGCCGTTGCTTGACCCGGGCTCGACTACCGATGAGTCTATCATCCCAGCATTTGGCCCGTGAGGATCGCTAGACGTGGACAGATTGCTATTCAAAGGCTGATCCAGTGACTCTTGATCGTTCGTGACCTCGTGCTGCATGTCAGAATGCCGGTTGCTCCTGGCTTCCAGAGCAGCAATTCTCGACTTCAAAGACTCAATGTATGAGACGGAAGATGGATCCGAAGCGTCGATTACGGAGCCAAGGCGACGTTGCACGCATTGCGATGCGGCGGCGCGACATTGCTGACACGTCGGAGTATCTCGAGAGCACTAGGTACTAGGTTAGTCTTTTGAGGGTATGATGAAACTGCAGTGATCTGGTGTGCGGATTTGATCGCAAATCATGGAGAGAAACAGGCATCGAGCAGACTTGACGTGCTGTCAGTTATGCGCGAAGAAGGAGCGACAACCAACCTTCTGTTTCCGCTTCCAGCATCTTTCGCAGGCTTGCGATTGCAGGTTTATCATGTTGGTGAATGATAGTAGAGTTAGTCCCTATTTTCAAAGATGGTGGTTTCGAAGTGGTGAAGGAACCGAGGTACCGGATACCAAATCGGAAGCTAGCGCGTCTCGGGTCTCACAGTCAGGACCGTTTTACGGGCGAACGCTTTACATCCAATTATCGCGCATTCGATACTAGTCATCATGGTTGAGTAAATCCAGATTAAATATGTAATCCGACATTCTGTTATGTGATACAAGATGTCGACATCTAAGAGCTTGCTAATACGTCCCCATGCCCATGGACGTGATCGTTCATCTTTAATTCTTCCACTGTCACACTAGCCTTTTCTTTTAATGCATCGATGATTCCGTTGGTTGACGCGATAGTGGCTCCGTTCGTCTCAGGCTGGATGTCCTCAGTAGAACTCTTGACCCTTGCGTTCAGTTGTGCCATCTCGCCTGCTCGCTTCGTAGCTCCACCGAGTAGCAGCGGTCCATCTGTCGCCGCCATAACCCATCGCGCGCCCATCTTGCAGAACTTCTCCACAAGGTCTAATCTTGAGTGCAGGCCTCCTACGCCAACCCATTTGCCGTGCTTCTTGCAGGCTTCAATCGTCTTCTCATACACTTCAAGTAGCTGCGGGCTCTCGTATTGTCCTGGAATACCCAGCTCGGCGCACATGTCATTGGTGCCGATCAGTAGACTGTCAACGCCTTCAATGGCGGCTAGCTCTTCAACACATTCGACTGCTTCAAGCGTCTCTACCATGGGAATGACAAGGGTTTCGCGATTGCACACAGGACTCATTGCTTTGGCGGCGAGGTGTCGGTACTGAAATTGTGGCATGTTGTTCGTTGAGGAGCGTTGCCCAAGGGGCTGGAATTTGGCAGCGGCTACCACATCTTTGGCGTCTTGTACAGAGCGGATGTGGGGGACTATAACGCCCATGGCACCTCCGTCAAGTACTCGAGAGACGAAGAAGGGGTCTTTGGATGGGACGCGGACTATGGGTGAAATGCCAGCGTAGAGAGCTGCAATACATATCTGACCTATCCTACGTTAGCTTGGAGGTTTATGGAGAGGGGCGGGGCGCCGAGGAGAGAACGTACTGGTCGTGTCCAAGTCAAAGGTTGAGTGCTCCATGTCGATGAGAATACCATCAAATCCCGCGGTCTTCGCCATCATCGGAAGCTCAACGCTGCGAACCAGCTTCACGGACAGCGTGTAGGCTACCTCATCGCGGAGCATCTTCTCCCGGATTGAGTTGTGAAGAGTGAGTTCCGCCATGTTTGCGGGTGTTATCGAGCTGTGATGTTGGGTGGATGATTCAACAAGAGGAGATTGGATAGACTTTGAGCTATACGAGAGTCCTTGTTGTAGCAATACCGACTGTCATATGTACGTGAATGCAAACCCCCGAGGTCCTGTAGAACGAGCTTACCCAACATAGTAGTGTATGCCAGCGGCCGTAGCCGGTCACCGTGATGCCTTCGGAGCATGACCGAAGCGCCGAGCATCAGCGCACTTAGCGCCCGGTCGTCAGCGTTGTCGATGTTGACGATGGATAATGGGGGAGGG